ACACAAACTAATCAGAGTTAACACCAGACTCCACAGTTTACAGGTTCAATCTTGTAAGACTGCCCCCATGTCAGATGCCAGCTGCAAACAGGGCAGCGGGCAGGTTATACACATTTCTGCATGGCCCACTACAAATTCAGAGGTTCCCTGGACAATACCTCATCTTCGTTAATTGGCTAGAACAGCTATCAGAATGAAGAAAAGCACTACTTATTATTACCAGTTTACTGTAAAAGATACAAGTCAGGAATAGCCAAATGTGAAGGGTGCACAGGGCAAAGTGGTGATCGGCGGGTAGGGAGCTTCCATGCCCTCTCCTGGCATGCCAGCCTCCCAGCATGGTGATGTGTTCACCAACTCAGATTTCTCTGAATCCCGAGGTTTAGAGGTTTCGATGGAGTTCCCTCATGTCGACCACTGGTGAATAACTCAATCTCCAGTCCCTCTTTCCTCGCCAGAGGCTGGGAACTCGGCTGAACATTTTAAGCCTCTAATCAAAGATTGGTCTTCCTGGTGACCAACCCATACCCTGAATCCATCTTAGGGGCCTGGAAGCAGTTGCCTCATTACAACATAAGATGCTCTCATCACTCAGAAAGTCCAAGGCCCTTAGGAGATCTTTGATAAGAACTGTGGACAAAGACCAAACATTTTTCTTATCATACCACAGAAGGTCACAGCCCAAGGACACACGCTCATTAAAATACTGAGACCAAATCATGGGACGATAGAACATTTCCTCTACACCAAGCAGACTCCTGTTTCATCACAGTGGGAAACACGGAAAGAACAGTATGCTTCAGAACTTGTAACAAGTCTCTATAGTACCCCAGACGTGACATGGGAGACAAAAGCAAGGACACCTGAGGATATTTTACCCCTGACAGCTACAACAAATAGTCAACACAGCCTAAGGCTAGTCAGATAAACATAAAACCTCACATTAGGGTCTATTTACCTCAGTTCCTTTTCACACTACATCATGTCCAGTATTCAACAAAAAATTCAAAGGCACTAGAAAAGACTTAAAAAACACATTTTCCCTGCCCTGGCCAGCCCCAGACTTTACTTTCTCTTTCTGCCTCTGCACAGTTGGATGAAGGGTCTGGCTGGTGAGTCTCCAGCAGCCATGGTCCCGCAGCGTGGCAGGACTGTTGTAAGCAGCTCTTTGCAGGAAACCACTGTTAGCAGGAACTCCCTTTCCTTGTCACTTTAGCAAAGTTGTAATGTAACTAACTTTTAAACCAGGCACCCCCATGCTCTACTCATCTCCCGCCCAAGCACACCTTTCAAATCTTTTCATCACACAACACCTTGCCTAGCCTGTCGGTTCAAAGAAGTAGAAATGAGTAAGTAGAGTAAGTAATTAACAGATGACCAGATCTCTTCCCTAGCTTCCCTTTCAGTAATCTCGTGAACAAACTGTGTGATTAACATCTGGAGGGAGATCACAAGTCGACGAGCCTGCATGCAGTGGGGGGCAGTGATGACTGTGACCCCCTATTTCAATGATTAACTGAGATTACTTCCCTCTTTCCCTTTAAAAACTTTCATGGCTGAGCTCCTTTAAAACTTTCATGGCCGAGCAGACCCTTGGGAGGTGGTTTTTTGGGTCCACCATCTTCCCGGATTGCCGGCACTCTGATTAATCAAAGACAACTTTCCTTTCTATCAACATTTGTGAATTTGATTTTGTTAAGCCGTGAGCAGCGGGCCCTGATTCGATAACAATAGGACAAGGAAAAGAACCTGATTCAGATGTACCGGGTGTGCTGGAATTATCAGACCAGAAATTTGAAGCAACCATGATGAATATGCTAAGGACTCGAACAGAAATAGTGGATGAGGGACTTCCCTGGTGGTCTGGTGGTTAAGACTCCATGCTTTCAATGTAGGGGGTGCAGGTTTGATCCCTGGCCAGGGAGCTAAGATCCCACATGCTGCAGGGCATGGCCAAAATAATAAAAAAAAAAACCCAAAGAAATAGTGGGTGGCATGCAAGTACAGATAGGTCACGTACGTGAATATGGAAACACTTGAGAAAGAACCAAAAGGGAAATACAAGAAATAAAAAACAAAAGCACAGAAATGAATTATTCCTTTGGCAGGATGGGGGTGAGGGCACATCAACACAATGGAAACATGTGAGGAAAGAATCACTGAGTTTGAGGAAATGTCAAGAGAACCTTCCAAAACTAAAATGCAAAGAGATGAACAAAAAAGGGAACAGAAATCCATGAACTTTGAGACAATTATAAAAAGTGTAACATACACATAATGGGAATACACGAAAGAGAAGAAAGAAGGGAACAGAGTAAGTGAAGCTTATGGGGACTGAGATTTTCCCAAAATTAATGACAGTCACCAAACCACAGGTCCAGAAAGCTCAGAGAAATGAGATTAAGACTGAAAAATACATACCTAGAAATACCATATTCAAACCTGAGAAAAATTAAAGACAAAGAGAACATCTTAAAAGAAGGTAGAGTGAGAAAATATTAGGTATAGAAAAACGAGGAAAAGAATGATACCAAACTTCTTTTCAGAAACCATGTAAGCAGGAAGAGAGTTTCGTGAAATAAAGTGCTGAAAGAAAACCACCTAACTAGAATTCTGTGTCAAGCAAAATTATCCTTCCAAAGTGAGAGAGAAATCAAGACTTTCTGAGACAAACGAAGATCAAGGGAATTTGTTATCAGCACACCTGCTTTGCAAAAACTGTTAAAAGAAATTTGTCAGGGACTTTCCTGGGGGTCCAGTGGTTAAGAACTCCATGCTCCCAATGCAGGGGTCTCGGGGTTTGATCCCTGGTCTGGGAACTAGATCCCACATGCTGCAACTAAGATCCTGCATGCTGCAACTAAAGATCCCACATGCCACAATGAAGATCCCACATGCTGCAACTAAGACCCAGTGCAGCCAAATAAATAAATAAACATTAAAAAAAATTTTGTCAGGAAGAAGGCAATGATGAAGAAAGGAAGACTGTTAGAGAAGGAATAAATGAAGGTAAAATAAAATGATTTGTTACTTTTATGTATTCTGACAGAAAACACTTTGTTCAAAATCATAACAGCAACTATATATTCAGCAATTATAGCTTATGGTTAAATGAAATGAATGATAGCAATGGTACAAGGGCAGGGAGGAGGAACTGGAATACTCTGTTATGAGAAAACTGCACATCCACTGAAGTGATGGTATACTGTTACTTCAGACAGGACAAGGTTAGTTGTAAATGTATATTGCAAACTCATGGCCAACTACTGAAAAACGTATAATAGTAAGCTAAAAGAGGAGAAAAAAATGGAACCACATAAAATGCTCAATGAAAGGTAGAGAAAGAAGAAAGGTGGAAGAGAATGAAGAAACAAAGAACAACGGTAGCAAATAGAAAAGAGTAGAAATATGGTAGATATTGATCCACTCTATCAATAATCACCTTAAACATCAATGGTCTAAATACAAGAAACGAAAGACAGAAACTGTCAAGTGAATAACAAAATAACAATTATATGTTGTCTGCAAGAATCAGTTTAGATATAAAGACACAGATAAATTAAAAGGACCTTCTTTAAGATCCTCCCTGGTCGTCCAGTAGGTAAGACTCTGTGCTCCCAGTGCAGGGGGCCTGGGTTCGATGCCTAGTCAGGGAACTAGATCCCACATGCCATGCTGCAGCAAAGGAGCCCATGTGGCGCAGCTAAGAGCCCGCATGCTGCAACTAAATATCAAGCACGCCACAGCTAAGATCCGGTGCAGCCAAAAAAAAAAAAAAGTAAAGGGTGGAGAAGGATATACCACGCCAACACTAAACAAAAGAAAACTGGCATAGCCACATATATATATATTTCTTTTAATTTCATTGAAGTATAGTCGATTTACAGTGTTGTGTTTATTTCTGCTATACAGCAAAGTGACTCAGTTACACATATTCTTTTTCATATTCTTTTCCATTACAGTTTATTACAGGATTTTGAATATAGTTTCCTATGCTATACAGTAGGACCTTGTTGTTTATCTATCCTATATATAATAGTTTGCATCTGCTAGTCCCAAACTC